ATATATATATATATATATATATATATATATATATATATATATGTATATAACTAACCCTAGTCAAGTACTACATATACATATATACATTGGTAAATATACACATACACATATATATATTTGAAGTAATTAACTATGCACTTTCTAAAAGTTTGCCCATTAAATAATTATATTTGGTGTTGTAACACAACAAATATGTATAAGATTTTCGATTTTTGTTGAGTCTATATAAATATATATATATGTATATATAAAATACGTTCATATACAAAAAATTATATATCAGTTTCATATCTAATTGGCAATTCGTAAATAATTTGCAAATTAATGTACAGTCACGAATATTAAATGAATCGCTCATTGTAATTAATTAACTAAATGAATAGTGAACTGAGTTATTTGGAAGTCGATTAGCAAAAATGTGGAAGTTATCAGCTATGTATGTATGTATATACGATCTCAATATGATCATAGGCAGGTTAGGATCAGCCTAACTGAACTGTAGAAAAATAGTTGCAAGTGTGCAAAAATACAATCTGCTTTCAAATTTAACAATATTTCTTTTGATATATACTAAAATTGTAGTATTTCAAGTTTCCATGACGAATGCCAGCGATGGATAAACCATATTTAAAACCATATATTAAATTTGTTCTCAATGTGTCAGCTGCACATTCCCACTTATTGTTTGATTTCTCGTTATTATTGTAAATACAATTTTACTTGGTTTTTTTTTTTTACTTTTTGCTTATATATATATTTATATATATATTTTCTTGTATAAATATGCAATTTGATTTTTTGTTTTCTTGTTTACTTTAAATTTATACATATATGTATATATTTATAAATACATATACACATATATACTATATATATATATAAGTATACATATATATATGCATGTATCTGTATAATATGTATATAAATTGCTAAATACAATTAATTGCGCTTTACACTTTTAATGGCTCTGAGGCATCTATAAAAATTAAAACAAAAAAAAAAACAAAAAAAATTGTCTCGTGTGTGTTTGTGTGTAAACTACATATGTTTGTCTAACAATGTTTAAGTTGTGTATGTGTGTGTGTGCCATATGAACCTGTACTACGCGCCCCCACGACGTATCCTCGTCAACATGCTATCGCTACTAGTGCTGCTGCTGCTGCTGCCGCTGCTGCTCCATCGCTTTCAACTGCAACATTTGTTAGATTTCCCCTTGTTCTTGTTCTGTTTTATTATGATTCGATCCTTTTGCTGTTCATCGGAGGCGGTACGCAGCTTATGATCCAACACCTGTCGCGTTATGGACAGAAACATATCCTCCACATTGAGGTTGTCTTTGGCGGATGTCTCGAACAGCTCAATATCCATTTGCCGCGCAAAACGTTGCGCATCCTCCGTTATGACCACCTTACGATCCGGATCATCATTCTTATTGCCCACTGAAATCATTATTATTAAAACTTGCTTCGATCGTACTTCCACTAGCTACTCACCTAATACTTTGTTGACCACGTCGCAATTGTTCTGAATCTCCTCCAGCCAGCGACGTACATTCGCAAAGGAGTCACCATTCGTGACATCATAAACAATGATGACGCCGTGCGTGCCACGATAATAGGTGCTGGTAATGGTACGGAAGCGCTCCTGGCCAGCGGTATCCCAGATCTGGAGCTTGACGCGCAGGCCATTGATCTCGACGGTACGTATTTTGAAGTCGACGCCAATTGTCGTTATATAACTGCCCGAGAATGTGTCATCTGAGAACCGTATGAGGAGCGATGATTTGCCCACACCTGAAATAAACAACAGACTATTGTAAAATTGATCGATTGAAAGAGCTAGAGTGCACATACATGTGCATCTATGTAAATATATATTACATACATATATATATATATATACATATGTACATGCATTTGTTTACATGTGCAAGTGTGTGCAACAATAGTTAAGGTATTCTGTTTATACAACAACAAATCGTTTGGCAGCTCTCTAATTACAATTGCCGATTCGCCAAACGCCCTTAGGGCTTGCTTTGCGATGTGTTTATAAAAGTTCGCATTAAACGGCGACATTGGTGCAAATGCAACTCAAGAATACAATTAATAATAAATTAAACAAATGTTATTTAAAAATTTATTAATTAAAGGTAAGTCAACTGCGTAACAAATATTTATTGATGTCTTTTCTTATCGATTTAACCTTATTTACATCGATAAAAATGTTTTGGAGTCTAAGGCGAAAGTGTGGCAGTGAGAGCGAGCGGGAAAGAGAGGAAGGCGGGATGAGACAGATGAGTAATTAATGTATTTAGAAGCAGCTAAGCAGATTTCTAAGTTGTTTTACCTTACACATTGAGGGAACAACAGACAGAGAAGGAGATAGAACAAACGAACAGCTGATTGGGCGCAGATTAACCCAAACAGAAAACACAAACAAGGAAATCAACCGAAAAAAAATAATACACATGCCGAAAATACATAAATGGAATTGAGCACAAGCCATGCAGGCATATGCATGTTTTCTATTTTTTATTTTTGCTTTTTAATGGTTTGTTTCTATTTATACCGTTGTTGTTGCACTATTGGGCAGGTGAAAAACAAGCATGCGAGCTTGTTGTATGTGCAAAATATATGTATGTTGTGTGTGTGTGTGATTGTATTGAAGCAGCTTGCATGTGTATGGAAGTATGTATGTATGTATTTGCATTTGCACTTACCGCTGTCGCCAATTATAAGCAACTTGAACATATGATCAAAGTGGCGTGCCATTTTGGAGCTGCTGTTGTAATTTACAGTTAGTCGGCGTTAAGGTTGACGCTGGCGTTCAAGTTGAACAATGCAAAAATTTTGTGGAAAAAATTGTGTTCTGCTGCTGCTGCGGTTGTTACTGCTTTCTGCTGTTTGTTGTTGGTGTTTCTCTTTGCCTTGCCTGCGCCTTGCTCCCACACACACACATACAGACAGACACACCCGCACACATATACGTTGTCGTACGCGTCTGCCTCTCGCTCGCACTCGCAGCGCTGACGATGGCTGCTGCTGCCACTGCTGCCGCCGCCGGTCGCTTAAATATGATAAACTGTTGTTCTTGCTTGCGACTGCTGCTGCTTCTGCGTCTGCTGCTGCTGCTGCTGCTGCTGCGGGCGTGTGCGTGTGATAAGCTCGCTATTGTTGTAAATGTTGTTGTACGAAGATTTTTAGTTTGTTACTTGTTATTTAATTTACGTTAAATTCGCGTTAAAGCACTTAACGCGACTGCTGTTCCTACTGATGTTGGTGTTGCTTTTTGCATGTATTTATCAGCAATTCGATTGGGGAGGCGGCATTAAAATGTCAGACAGAGGCCGACTTGTTGTTATTGTTGTTGGCTGTTTCTCTTCTTCGGCTGTTGCTGGTGTATCGGTGGAAGCGCTGTAGAACTTTTGCTAATGCTGATTACGTTGAATATTTTGGGCTCTGGCTACTGTGCATATTTAGAAATAATACAAATACTATTAATGTCACACTGACATCGAACACAACGCATACGCACAATAAATTAGCAAGTTGACCTGTCTCTTTCGCACACACAATGCCAGCAAATTATGCTTCTCCTCTTTTTATATTATTATTAGACGTCGATTTTTGAAATCCCACACACATATATGCACTTTAGTGTTTAAATTATATTTGGTTTGTTTTGCACCTGCTATGCTGACTGCCTTTAATAAATTAATTAAATTTATATCCCTAAATTATATGCATTTTATGAGTAAACTATTACTAACGCACGTATATATATGGAATGGAGTACGGATAGAAAAAAAATACATCGATAGATATATCGATGGTACGAGCGATATACAAATAACTGTGGTGCTTTTCGACACAAAATATATCGATTATGAGAAGCATAATCGTTGTATACAAATACTATCAAAAATGATATTATCAACATTAAAGATTAAAATATCTATTAAAATATTAATTAATGGCTTCAGAAAATGAACCGTTGATTAGCTGTAATGAAATTGATACATTCAATTATAAAAATAATTCCAGTTTCTTTTTAATACTCTATCATCTCGTACATTTAAAAACGAGCTACCATCCATATAAAAAATAAAACAAATATATTTAAGTCAAAAAAATATATATATATTCATATTTCCATTTTGGTATCTCAGTTTTCCATTTTGGTATTTCATATTGATAAACATGATTCACGTCATCACAATGTTTCTTAATATCTAGTTTTTATCTCAGTTTTGACTATGAAGACGACAAAAAATAAAAAATAAATAAACAAAAAAAAAATAATAATAATAATATAAAAAAATTTTATGAGACGGGTGACTGCCTTATATATATATTTAAATTTGTATTTTTATACTCCATAGTGGTTAAAGTAATTCAAGTCTCAACCTCTGCTATGAACATGAGCAAGATGCAGTTCTCTCTCCTTCTCTGTCTAATGTATACAAACATAAAAATATTCAAAACATGCAAAACAAAATAATATTAACTATAAAAAAAAAGCCTGCATATGATATGTGGAATACAGAACTATCAACGCCTTATGCAATACTTAACATTCTTGAAGGAAAAATTTTATATCAATTCATTGGTATATAATGTACCAGCTTCTGATCCAGAAATTTACTTGCGCGAACGAGCGCGAGTGCGATTCGCCACACACGAGATATCAAGTGGCGAAGGGCCACGGCTGCGCACCTGCGATCCAAATGTGCGTATGCGCGAGCGTCCGCGCGAAGTCCCTGTATTAGTATTTTCAGCATCGTTTTGAGTACGACGACGGTTACGGGCGGAGCCGCGCTCCTCGTTGTTGTTGCGCCGATCCACGGCCTCGGGTGATAGCGACGGACGTCCACGATTGTTATTTGAGCGTGAACGCAAACGCCTCGGTTCAGTAGCAGTGTCCTGAGCACGGCGAGCGGTCGGAGCTGTTCGACGACGGTTGCGCATGCGCAACGGTTCATCAATGGACGGAATCATATTAATGTTAAGGGGTTGTGCTTGTGGTTGTGGTGTAGCTGGTATTGAAATTTGTCGAAGTTGTGGTGGTGGTGACCCATCGCTCCCAGGCGATGGGCCTGATACTGGTGGTGCTGGTACCAGCACTGGTGCTGGTGCTGATACCAGTACTGGTACTGGTGCTGGTATTGGTGGTATGGTTGGCACTGCACCTGCCATGTCAACGTTCTCCTTCTCATTTGTCTGCTTTGATAATTGTGATAGAAAGCAATCGAAATCGGATTCCGAGTCTGAATCAGATCCCGAGGAGTCCTCGGAATCGGATGTGTCTTGGGCACAGAGCAGTGTCAGTGTCTGTGGCTGCGGTGCCTGTGTCTCTGTCTGAGGCTGATTGGTTGGGTTGAGTCTTATTGTGTTTGCCCTGAAAACAAAATCTTCTAATGGATCCGCATCATTATGCTCTTTGTTAGGCTTGGCCTCATCTGGCTTATGTAAGACGCCGGAGCAGGCCTCACAGCAATAGTCTTCGGACTTCATCATTGTGCACATTGTGTGTGACGGATTGGAGCCACACAATAGACAGTATAATAAAGTTCGCAAGTTACCCTTGCGTCCAGACGGGTTGACGCAATTTTGGGCAACACAGTCAGTGGGTATCTCCATCTGATCGGCATATGCATCATTGTCCTCCCACAATGCATCGCTGCAGCAGGGAGCAATCATATGGAAAACTGACGAGAGAGAATTGTTCATATTAAACTTACCGATTCGGCACTGAGATGCCCCAGAAGGTAACCGTTTTAAATTCGGTAATGTCGTTACATAGTGGGCACTTGAAAAAATAACCAGCCGAATTGGCGTAGCGCTGCAAGCAGTCCTTGTGGTACCAGCCATTCTTGCAGCACTTGCCAAAAATATGCTGGGTGCGACAGAATCGTTCCCTCCTCTTCAACAAGTCTTCAAAGCAAATCGCACATTGCTCATCGGTTTTGGGGGTTTCATTATATGTGTTAACATGCATGTTGCAGAACGATTTGAATGTTCCAATAAATTGATTTTGAACACGATTCTCTACTCCACAATAAGTGTGGAAACTTCTGCGGCAGCCCGCTTTGCAGCAGCCAATATTTGCTCCACCGGTGTGACAAAAGCAACAAATCTGCAATGGTAAGATTATTTACGTGTAAATTTTTTTTTATATTAAATAAAATATTATTTATTACAGCACGATGCTACTAATGTGAAAGCAAAAACTTTACTACGCAAAGACTCGTTTGAATTTGTATACGTGCTTGCTATGTTATATGTATGTATATGTTAATTTTTTGTTCGAACACACAGCGACAACACGCACACTATGCGGCTTTTTCTTCTTCTATGCAATTCGCTAGAACTATGTACAGGCATGCATAAACAATTTTCAAGGTCTTTTCGCCGAAACTGCGGCTGAAGCATAACATTTGCAAATTACTTACGACACATTTGGTACGTTCCCACTCAGCCATAATATCCTTATATGTAAAGTTTAGAATGCCATTGCGCGAATTGCCCCGTTGAATGAGATTTGAGCTCAAATACTGTAATTGGACGCACTTGTAAATACATGTTGACTCTTGTTTGGTTGGGTTTCCTCGATACATACTAGACAGTTTTGATGAACGATAATGTCTCCATGAATGTATAGCTTGCCGAGACGCAGTTCATCTTCAGCATCTGAGCGGCAAAGTAGACATTTTTTCATACTTACAAATCTATTTTATCCGATTTGACAAGTTTTTGTTAACTTGCTACTGAGCAGCAACTGCGATATTGGCGGGAAGGAAATGATTAATTATGCTATTTACGAACACTGATCAATATTTTAGTGTTTGTTAACTTTTGAAACAGTGTTACCGATCCATAAAAAGCAGCGTTGCCACACAAGTCAGCTGACATTTGGCGGCAGAATATTGAAAATAAGAAGCTAGCCGAGAAACGAGTAAATTTTGATAAAGCACAATGTATTTGTGTTGATTTATTTATTTCTACTTCTACTTGAGATACATACTAATATTTAATCAGAACACAGTTCAGGTGAAACTTTAATGTTTGTAAATATATTTAAGTCATACACGTTATAATTCCTTGGTACATGCATATACATACATTCTTTTGGATAATTAATTATATGGACAGTCGCACACAGTCGACAAGTACGATACAATAATTATTACACAAATTTTATAGTAAAATGCAACTAACCATAATTTGATTGCCCTATCGACTTAACTGCTACTAACGACTAATTCTGTAAATATAAATATAACTAGATTTTACACACATCTCAAGCGATCAAATTCTACAATACACGGATATTTCCTTAATCTCCATATATGTATGTATGTATGTATATATTGCGGATTTGTAATAAACCAAATCGTATAAAACAATAACGAGTAAGGTGATCGCTCAAGTAGAGGGAGAAAGTTATTGCAGTTTTATCCTCCTTCGTTTACTCCTTATATACCAGCACGTTCTAATGCAGTTAGCTGGCTGCCCAGTCGCTCCTCCTTGGCCTTGCGCTCAGCGCTAATTTTCTTGGAGCTCTGATAGGTGTTGAGAAAAGTCTGAACATCGATCTTACCATTCAGAAAATGCTCGACATGTCGATCACAATCACCATCCGCATTCGATGCGGCTATTTGCAGTAGCTCCTGTATAAAAAAAAAAAACGTTAACGATTACAAATCAGATATTAAGATTTCAATATCTATGCACGATTTACTCGAATGTGCTGCGGAGCATATTCTTCCGACTTCTTTAAGTACTTCTTATTTAGTAGATCGCATTTTTCACCGAGCGTCTTAAGTGCCGTATAATCATCACTAAGCCGGCGTTTCAATTCGACCAAATGAGTGCCCTTGCTCTCATTTTCACCTGTAAAATTGATTACGTTCTTATTGGAAGAGTTCTGTTAGGGTGTATGGTTTCATCTGCTAATTACGTGATATATTTTCCACTTGATTCATCATGGAGTCAAGTTCCTCATTTAAATGCTGTACCACAGACATTTCCTCAATGAAATCATCAAAAAACTCGGGATCTCGATCAAGCTGCTTCAGCTCATCTAACGAGAGTGTTGATAAATTTGGCATACTATCTTCCTCAGGTTTCAGTTCTGGGCTAACTCCATTGCTCTCATCGTTGCTAAGTTGCTGTTGGTGCTGCTGCTGAGACGTCTGCTGCGCAGTAGGCATCTTGCAGAATGGCAGCAAATGGCTGAAAATGTTTCCTTTCTGTTTGGGAATATCAAAATATCGTGAAGGCCTACATTACACCATTTGTATATAGAAAATTGTATTACATATTCACTCCCTCGTTGTTCGATTAAATGAGACGTATGTACATCAAGATGTCGCTTGATAAATTGAAATTGAAAATGGAGTTTTTGTATCTTTTGTATGTTATGTTATAACAAAAACAAAATTCTATCGCCATTCGCTTGAAGGAGTTGCCACCTGTTCTAAAATTGGATACCAATCAGATGTTCAACTAATATGAATTTATAGTCTGTTTATATATATAAATTACTCCATAAATACGCTTCATATATAAACATTAATTAAAAAAAGTAATCAAATTTAATTTAATTGTTTTTGTGTTTTGTTTATTTTTTTTTATAAATGAGCTCGTTTTAGTGGCTAAACAGAGCTGATTACTCTGGACGATTGGCGGTAAATGACGGCAGTGGATGGCAAAACAGATGTATTCAGTAAAACAACTACAATAAATAGGTGGCTGGAGTTAATTGCAGGCAACCAGGCAACTAAACTGACTCGTTGCTTGCACTGGCAACTCTATTATTCAGAATATCGCACATCTCTATCGCCGAACAGCTGATAGCTGTTTTCCTTCTATTTTATAATTCTGGATATCGTGTTGCTAAACTGAAGATAGAAAAAGTTTATATAACAAATCATAACATAAAACTTAAGAAATGGCATTATTTGAAATGAAATGGCTGCGTCGCTTTGTACGGCGACATACAAATCCAATACCGGAGCAACGTGCAGAAATGTGGAAGCGTCGCTTGAGCATTGGCTACGCAATTTTAGCCTGGCAGGCTTTTGGTTTTGTATGCTATATGGTCTACACTGGCCGCAACGATTGGGCCAAGTATTATGGCTACAAAACGGAGGAGGAAATGGCTCTGTCTCCGGCACAACAATTTGCCAGACATATTCGAGCGGAAGGTACCGGCAAAATTATGCGCTTTTCAGGATTTTCCAAAGTAGAGGAAGTACCATTCGACTCAAAAGACGTGAAACGTGTGAAGGACTGAACTTTACTAATAATTTAGTTGATATTTTGCCTAATGTACTGTTCTTTTGTTGTTTTTTTTTTTTTTTATTATTGCAAAATAAACTCTAGCTAAAATAATCTAAATTGGAATAGTACGTTATGTCTTGGTATTTTTACGTAAATCATAAAACGGGCACACTGACAGTGAGCAGAAACAGACGCCGCTGCAGCAAACACAAACAACCAAAGACAATGCTGCTGCCATACGAGCAGCAAAAGCGTCTGCAATAAACAGAAAAATTATAGAAACAAGAATATTTAAAAGAAATAATAATAAGCGCGTGTGTTCGTGTTTTGGATAGTACATACAATAAGCATAACAGCAATTGCTGTCAGTACCGACCTATTATTTGTATGTCGCGTTGCATTTCGTCTATAAATAAAACAAGAACAACAGCAACATCATCTTCGGAATCTATTTAATGAATATTAATTGGCTATCAAGCGTGCAGTGCAGTCCAAGATGAAGTCGAGGTCACAAAGTCTGCCGCTCAGCCTCCTCTTCATTTCTTTGTGCTCTACGCCAATGCTGTTTGTGTGTATGAGAAATAACGGGACTAGCAGACAAACAACAATAACAAATGGCATTTGCGCTGCTCTTGTCTAATTGGAATTGTTGTGCCAAAGAAATGCTTAAAATAAGCTCCGGCCGCAAATAATTGCTAATTAGTTGGTTTTTATTTTTTATTTTTTTTTTTTTATTTGAGGTCTTGCAAGGCTTCATTCCCGACACGCATACGAATTTCTAATGCAATTAACGTGTGCTTCGCTGCCGACGTCGTAGTCGCAGTCGTTGATGTTGGTGCAACAGCAGCTGTGTTTTAAACATAAACATGATTTTTTTTTTTAAATTTGATTCAAACTTTTTTTTTCTATTTTACTTGTGTATATGCATAAGCAATTCTTTAATTTCTTATTACAGTTGCAGGAGTGAAAGAGAGAGTGTTTCTACGCGTGTGTGTGTTAAACAACGTGCTCGTCTAACGGCATTTTAGTGTATTAGCTAAACTACAAAAGAAAACTCATACGCGCGCACACAAATAACAAACAACACATATGTATGCATGTATGTGTGTACATGTATGTTAAATGTACCGTTGATTGATTATTACTGTTGATTGCAGCTGCCTTTTGCATTGCTTCTCTTACGGGTAAGTGTTGAACAATTATTACAATTTATAGCCATCTTTATCTATCGCTGCCCGCCATCTCTGGCTGGCTGGCGAACTTTGAAGATAATTAAAAACCCATTAATTATATAGTCTGAGTGAAATTTTTGTTTGTAAAGTTCACTTTCCAATTCTAAGCCATAGACACAACCAAAAACACTAAGAAAGCAAAACGTAAATCATTAACTAGCGATATATAAATATTAAACAAAAATTTGTTTAGAAATCCAACAATAACAACTAACAGCAACACGACGACAAACAACAATAAACAAAATAAAAAACGATAGTTTCTATTTTTACCTAAATAGCTAGAGTAAAAATGAAACCATTTTGATTTTTTTTTTTTTCTAATAAATAAACTTTATTTTATCGAGAAACGAAATGAAAACGGATTAAAAATACGTTGTTTTTTTTTTTTTTTTTTTTCTTGACAAGCGAACAATAAAAGAGCGTTATACAAGCGCCGCGAAATGTTTAGCATATGGTAGAAATGCGAACAAAGCGTGCGACAAACACACACACACACACACACACACACACACATAGCATATTTCGAGCATGCAAACTGGAATGGTAAGGGGTATAATGGGAGGAGAAAAGACGAGGCATGAATAGGAGCAACGACTAACTAAGCACTCTATGTTGACATTAATTGGCTACTGTTTAGTTAAATATGACATTAACAATGCAAAACGATTTAGTTAATCGAGCTAACGGCTTAATCAGCATCGATTATTGATCATAATTTGATATCGTTAAAGGCACTCCCCATTGATATTGCTTAATGAATTTGATTGAAAATTAGCTTGATTGAATATGAAATTATTTCGTTTTACATATACAAAATTCATGAGTGATAAATTGATTTGGATTATACATGTCCAATAAGAGATTATGTTCTATGTTCTTGAAAATAGTAATGTGACTTGACTTTTATTTCGCTACTTCTCTCTAGACGTTAGATTCCCCAAAATTTATTCACTGCTCTTTTACAACGGTAAAATGTACCGTTTCTTCATTGTATAATACTTTTTGTGTACATTGTGCAGCACTACTACTGAACACAACTGTAGATTATGTTAGATCATAATTAGTAATTGTATAATTAGGCAGCTAATTATATATGCATAATCGACGGCCCTATTGCGTACACTCCCAAATTTGTAGAGCAACGTGCAGCACATAGACTCTAGAGGCAAAACGGCAAAGCGACAAACAAACGAGCACGAACAAGAAGAGAAGAGACAAACGCAGAGCAAACACAAGTGAATGCCCATAGACTGGATCGGCGCTCAAAGCGTCTTCTGGGCTAGCGCTTAGTTTTTATTTTCATACCCATTAAACGGGACAAATGGGTCTATAAATGTGAGAAGAAAAGCACAGAAAACGCCTTCAGTTCACGTTTTTATAACATATGCGTTTTCCCCTCGGTCTGTGGTATAGTTTTCTGAAACTATAAATCAAGTCGCAACGAGACTTTGTGCTCCAATAACAAGTGAAACAAACCGTATTTCAGCTATAATGTTTAGGGTTTATTGTCAAAGAGCAGAAGCAAACCCGTTATACAGCTTAAGAAACTCATTTCGATTTATCAATTTATCCAGAAATGTTGATAGTTTTTACTTTCTTAGTAAATATGAAATATCTCAAAAAGCAAAAAAGTATAAACCTTAAGATTTTTATCATCTTGTTACGGTCGAAATACATATAGTTTATAATCAATGCACTTGCTGGTGAGCATTACATATTTATAGACTCTGTAGTCCAATAGATATCTAGCAGTCGGGCATGCCCTATGCAACATATTTAACTGCCTTTCTTTAATAATCTTATGTCATGCTCACTGGCTGGCTGGCTGGCCGTCTGTCTAACTGTCTGTCCGTCTGACTAGTTAACTGCCCATTGGGTTTCTCAGGTGCCGCTGCCAAAGCCAAACGTAATGCGATCCGTTAACGCGGATCACAGGTGCAACAGCAAGCGGGGGTTAGGCTTGGGTGGCCAGCAGGGCACCCACCGCCAGTGGCGGTATCAGCGACGGCTCTAAGCGACGCGCGATAAGCGACATTTGTTTTGCGGATGGTCATAGACCTCAATGAGTCGTCGGACTGGCTAGCTTTGCTGACCAAAAACCGAGGCCCAAACAATAAACAAAACAAAATAGAAGGAAAAAGAAGCGAAAAAAAATGTATATCTATATACATACATATATACCGAGCCGACGCGGTTTGTGGCTTTTGCGGTTCCGGTGCCCCCCTCGCCTCTGTCCAGCTCAGCTCGATAAGCGCACGCAGCAGAAGCAATCGGGTCTAAACAATTCGGTCTACGCCGCCGCCAACGGCCGGAGCCAAAGCGCTGATGATGATGAAAACAAAAAAGTAAGACATCAGAATGGAACCCGAGTAATCTACCGTATCTACTACCTGAGCACATTGCTGATTGCGACCGTCTCGCAGCTAAATGCCAAAGAATACAAAAGAAAAAGAAATGAATATGTTCTTATATATGTATGTACATATATGATATGATATGACATGATATGATGTATAAAAGAAAACGAAACTCAACTGTCATCAATGGCCGGCTACTTGGTTGATTGGCCCAGAGGGGGCCCCAGATCATCAGCGCCTGGGAAATTCTCCGAGCGTCCCATGAGTGAGCCGACATTGTGTAATCGATACAGAAATGGTCCCCTTTCCCCTAGCTCTCCCTCCATCTCTCTGTACCTATTTTCAGGCTCGCTCACGCGTTGAGAAGAGTATATTGACTTGGTGTTATAGCTGCTGGTCTCTCGAAAAGAAATATATGATTAATTAATTCTATTCGTGCGACCTTCATTTGTCACATATAGGTTTATTTACTTTCTGTATACTTCAAAGCAATTTTATGGAAACCAATCAAAACAATACTACATATGTATGTATAGAGATAAGAATAAATTCTAAACTTTGTTTAATACGCCCACTGAGGTAAGAATAATATATATAACCTGAACTAGAATTATATAGATTCAATTACTATAGCTATACACCTCTTGAGGGATTTTTGTTGTTTAAAGTCCAATATTATAGAAGACGTTGTTTGCTATTAGGTTAGGATAATAAGCACTCATTTTACTAAACATAACTATTTTCTAATTGATTAAATGAAAATTCCAATGTGATCAATCTTATGCAATCTAAAGATATATCAGATTTTATACTTCGGAGATCAGGTATAAGTAAATATGTTAAATGTGTAAGACAGCGTATTATTGATCAATGCATTTTTAATGTTCAAACTTGAATATATGTATACTAAATATTATCAATTTATATTGGAAAGGTTACATCTATCTGAATTATTCTGAATTATTATTATTGCATAGCCTGTGGATTGAATTCGCACATTTTTAGTAGATATTTTTAGTAGATAACTCTCGCTCAATATGGTGACCCCAGTTTTAGTTGCGCTCGGTATTTCGTTTGAAGTGTTTGGCGTTGTTTTTTCTAGGCTGCTTTCAGTTCTTAGGACATGGAAAAACTAACGTCTTATCTGAGAATTACTGCTGGAACCCACATTAAGGCCGCAACTGCTCCACAATGTGGTCAGGGATGATCCAATGTTTTCGAGTGCCGTCAATTTTTGTCCATCCTCGAATATATCTGCTATTTGCGTGTCAGATTCATTATCTCTTACTTTTTCTTCTACTACGGTGCTTCGTTTAACTTTGCCACTCAACACATTCTTAAAGAACGCCATAATTTTGACCACGTTGGCGTGTTGCACGAATTTTTAAAAATTAGACAAGGGAAATTAAAAAAAAAAATATTGACCAACCGAACTGTCTTGATTTTGTTCCAAAGTTATTATAAAAGTTTTTTTCTCCACAAAATAGGTTTGAAATTTAATGGAAAGGCTGCTTAATTGTATTTTGACTTTTAAATAATTCGCGCGTTGTTGCAGTGCTGTGAAGCACATTAGTAAATAGTATTGAACAGCACGCTACGCATGCGCTGTTATCTACATGCATAACATCGGGCTGTTGTTAACAGACGCGCGCGCCGAATCAAACTTTGGCGTTTTACAGCTACGGTCACACTGCTGACAGTTGACCCGTTCAGAAAACGCGCGTCGCGTCGCGTTCGCGTTTGTTGTCAGTTTCTCAGCTCTGTTTTCGTGCGCGCTGTTTTTATTCTCTTGTCTTTTATTTTTGTTTGTTTTTTTTTCTTGTACTTATGTTCTAAGTTATTTACATGACTAGCACTTTGCTTTGGTATGTTTTATGCGTTTGTGTGAGTGATATGTGCAAAAAAGGGTTTACGGCTCTTTTACAGTTATTTGTTGCAAACAATTAAAGGCGCACTTATACAAATGTATGTTAGTGTGTGTGTGTGCAAACATCGAAATCCAGAGCGTGTGTACGTGTCTCCATGTTTGGCTCTGTAGTATTTGCGTGAGAGAAAGAGCGTGTGTGTGTGTGTGAGTTCAATTCATTGTTAAGCGGTTGCTACGGCTCAAGCTGCGCTGCTGCTGCTCTGCTGCGTTGTTATTCTTCTGTGTGAATTACACGCATGACATTCTTGAAGTGCTGTGGTTTCTTTTTTAATCTACTCTCTTGTCAGCTCTCGTCTGTAGTTGTTGCCGCAGCAACAATTTCATTTGTATTTGCATTATTATTTCTTTTTACACACACTCACATACGTTCGAGTCCTGTTTAGTCTACACTCTCTGTCTCCTGCTGCTATATGTGCAGTGTTGCAAAATGTGTGTTAAGTAGGCGCGCGTGCTCTGCATATTTGATTATTATTATTGTTAATTAGCATTCAAACGCCAAATGAGTTCACGAGCTTAGTTCTGTGCCTTCTTTTCCCCTTGTGGTAATTTGTAATTATCTAATGGCAATAGCACTTATCGCAATGCAAACAGATAGATAAACCAAAGCCACTCACACAGTAGTACTATTAAGACAAGCATGTTCATATAAGTATTGCATATCTACACACGTATAATTGACCCACGCACCTGATTAAAGTCGCATGTTGTGTGTCGCCAGTAATTAACGAAAATGCGACAGCCCGACATAGATCAGATTTGCGTGCATGATGTCATATTTGTTTTTTTTTTTTTCATGTTTGTGTTTCAATTTAACTGTCGCGGTGTCGTCAAAACTTGAAAGCCTTTAAACAAAATAAACACAACATTGCGTTTATTCGTGTGGGCAGAAACAGATTTCGGATTGCGAGATACAGTGGCTCCATCGCCAAATCGGACAAGACTATTTATTTATTTCAATGTGTGTTTTCTTTAGCAGTAAGTTAATTTTTTACAGTTTTCATATTTTTTCTTAAATCTATTATGTATTGGCCTCCTAAAACAAAAAAAAATTTTTGTAATTTTAAACGGCAACATTTTTTTTATTTTAAAAAACGAACAACAGACCGATTTTGAGCTTCAACGCCAAATCGGACAAAAGAAAACTGCAAGAAAAAGATCCGTTATTTGGCGGAGATTTTCGTTTTCGTTTTGCTTATTGCTTTTCGTTATGTTCTCGAGCTCATAAGTGACAGTAACACAAATAATTTTTGCGAAATGGCTCCACGTGGGAAGCAAACTGGTGTTGAGGCACGCCAAATAATATTAAAACTACATTTTGATGGCAAACCCGTTAGGGAAATAGCAGATCTGGTCGGAAGAAGCAAATCTACCGTCCATGATATCATAAAAAGGTTTCGGGAAGATGGAAGGTTAATTAACAAAAGCCAGGAGGGAAAAAGAAAGCGACTAAACTCAAGAGAAGAGCGGTTGATTATAAGGGAAATTAAGGTTGATCCCTTTAAAACCGCAAAAGAACTGAGGATGTCATTAAAAACAAACTTTGGAAAGGATGTGTGTGACAACACAGTGCGCAATACTTTGCACCGATATGATTTGCATGGCCGAGTTGCCCAAAAAAAGCCTTATATTAGCCCTAAGAA